AAAAAAAAAAATTCACAAAAAATTAACGAAAAGTCAGATCAAAGCCAAATCAGGTTTGCACATGACTTAAGGGGTCCTCTAACGAATCCAAGCATTTAGAACCGTTTTTGACCCTTATAAGACACTTTTTTAATTGGAAAAAAAAACATCGTTAAGTGAAGCAGGGGACCTAAAATCGCATTCGTTATGCGAAGCATGGTCCCAAACTTCGCTAAGCGAAAATCGCCCATAGGAAACATCGTTATGCGATGCATATTATTTTCTAAAAAAACACATTGTTATGCGGATTCATCGCTAAACGAGGCAATCGTTAAGCGAGGCACCACTGTATTGGATAAGCGCTACAGCACACATGGTCGGGATGTGGTGACGCTGTGGGTTAAACTGCAGAAGCCTCTGTGCTGCAAGGTCAGAAGACCAGCAGTCGTAAGATCGATCCACGCGACAGAGTGAGCTCCTGTTGCTTGTCCCAGCTCCTGCCAACCTAGCAGTTCGAAAGCATGTAAATGCGAGTAGATAAATAGGTACCACCACAGTGAGAAGGTAATGGCATTCCATGTCTAGTAGCACTGGCCACATGACCACGTAAACTGTCTACAGACAAACGATGGCTCTACGACTTGGAGATGGGAATGAGCACCACGCCCTAGAGTCGGACACGACTGGACTAAAAATGTCAAGGGGAACCTTTTACAACACACATGAGGTGACCCACAACCCCCCTGAAAGCATTTTGTAAGATACAGTTTCTAAGCTACGGGGCCCAGTTAGTCTCACTGGAATTCACCCAGAGTCCAGGTTCTAGAAGACAGGAAAGAGGAGAAAGCTTAGGTCTGGAGCATAGCCCTTTGAGAGAAGACTTTTATAAAAGAGCAAAATAATTCAGTCTGTGCAGCTTGTCTGTCTTGGTCTCTTCCCTCACTTGCCTGCAGAGTTGTGTGGCATGGAGGCTGTAGTCTTGTCCAAGCATGTCGCTGGTGTCTCTGATGCCTGGTTTCTGCCACAAGCCAATAAACCTGGTGAGCTTCTGGCATCCTCCAATACATCCTCTTCTTCCAAGATAGGTGGTGACCCCTTGTCTTCCCAATTCTGGTCGTCTATTCACCTTGACTCTGCTTCCTCCAGCTGTCTCGCCTATATCTCTTCAGCTGGCCTGATACTGAAGCAATTCACCTTCCTCCTGGCTGCGTGCTACTTGTGGGCTGGGGTCAGATGGCTCATTATGGGTGCACATCTTTACCCCCTCACAGAATGTTAATAACTGGACGAAAAATTGGAAGGACCTTTTGCTTTTGAGAAAGGAGAGTTTGGAAATATGTATGAAATACTTTACTGTTTTACTGTGAGATTTTTCTGATTTCTGTGTCTTTGTACAAAAGTAAACAACTAAAATGCTGTTGGCTTTGTGCAGCATAAACCCATAATTATGGAACTTATGAATATAGTCTGACTCGCTCTCATGTGCTCAGACATACCCAGGCCACATTCTTGATTGCCCACCCAATGCATGATAGCTAGAAACTGACAAAAAAGCCAGTTGCACAGTGTAGCGTTCACCTTATTATGTTAAGTAGTCATGCATATCTGTGTTGCAGGCTAATGTTACTAGAGGCGGAGCCGAGATATATGTAATAAAGAGGCAGAGTCAGAGGGTCAGTCAGTGAGTCGGAGTGGAGAGGGAGATAAGAGTGTGGTATTTGGGAGATCTGAGGTGTGATTATAGTGAAGAGTAAATAAGAACTGTATAACAAATAGAAGGTTGAGACTGATAATCAATGAACCTGTAGAAGTTACCTATGGTTAATAATCAAACATCTGTAATCAATAAACAAGTTTTATTTAAAAGACAGTGAAGTTTGGACCTGCATCTTCATCCTTCCATAAG